TTCATTTTTTAATTTTAAATTAGTATATTTATTAATTTTTTCAGATTTCTTTAATAATGCTTAAAAACACGTGAAAAACCTGCATTGCATTTAATTTGACAAAATTCTAAAGTTTTTATATATAACGCATGACATGGAGTCCGGCTTAAGGGCGCGGCTGAAATTTTTGTGGCACACGGTGCGACCAGCTCAATGCACCAGGCGCGCAGAACTGTACAGAAGGTGGCCGGCATTTTTCGGGCGGCATTTCTGTTGCATACTTTTAGGCACCGGATGACCGACGTGCGCGCCATCTAGCGGATGCACATAAACACGTGCATGTGTGTGCCGTTGCATGCTTTTAGGCGTCAAATTAAAATTTGAAGCGCATGCACATGTAAACGAAATAAAACGAATTTTTAGTTGAATTAAGTTATTTTATTATACTTCTGATTATAATTCACAGTTTATTGCAGTTGAATATATTAAATATATGTATGTATGTAATAGTAAGGATGTCCGACTGTTGTTTGGCTGTAAAGAATAAAATAATTTGTTAATTTTTATAATCGGTTAACACGAAAATTTAAAAATAGAAATATTGACATGGTTGTATTATTAGGGTGTGATTGAAATATTAACATTTTTTAAAATTATTTTGGTAATGTTTTTTTAATAGTCAGTTAATTTCTGCCGTTTGTTTGCTACTACACACGCACAAAATTTTAGACTTGCTGACAGAGGAAAATGCTAGTACTAGAAGATATTATCAAACATTATTTAAGCAACTGGCATGCTCGTAAATATATAAGTACGGCAAACCTATATACACGCATATATACATATATAAAGTATAGACTCGAACATATAATGCAATACCTAACCAATCATCAAAGCAACAGAAATCATACATATACGTGTACTTATTATGGTGTAGATGAGAGATAAATATGTAACAGCAAAGTTTAAATGAAATAATAAAAACTATATTAATGGACGCATGTAGTAGAATATGTGTATAGGATTATTGTCCTGATAACATAAAAATTAAACAATTAAATGCAAAGAATAGTGCATATGAAAAATGAATGTAAGCATGTAATAAATAATATTAGAAAATTAATATAAACAAAAACAACAAATTCTGCAAGTGACATTTGAGGAGACAGCTGATTGCTCGGCTGCACATGATTAGCTAGTTTTAAGCTTGTTTTAGGGATTCCAAAGTAAACAAGGTATACAGACTTAAAAGTCTAAATAAAACAAAACAACTAAATTATAGAAATAAATAAAATCATGTAGCAAACTGTGTGGCAACTAGAAAATCCATTTACTTAGCAGTAATATGAGTAAAAAATGGAAAACTAAAACATAAACAAACAAAAAAATTAATTTAGCGCTATACATTAGCAACCAACACATAAACAAAAACCAAGCACAGGCGAGTAAGACATTTCTATAGTAAAATTAGTCAAATACACACACGCTTTACAAAACGTAATGAAATATCAGGCAGAAGTATTTACATATGTATAAGTGACTTAGCGATGTATGTAAATTTATTAAAGTTGACGAGTAAAATTAAACAAAAGCAAAAGGGGAACACATGTGCAAAAATAAAAAATAATAATAATAAAACAAAAAGCAGACGCCACTGTCTGCCAATATTGTTGCTGGCAGCACCAAGTACACTGCATTTATGCACATAGTTGGCAACGCGTATGCGACAGCAGTAACGGAAGTCAAAGCGCCGTTTGTTGTGGAAATTTTTTCAGCAGTCAAATGATTTTACCAAAAAAAGTTAATAATATTAAAAAGCGACAACAAACCGACAAAAGACAACAGCACCGGAATATCAATTAGTAAAATAATAATAAACAAAATTAAATTATGAAAACACATGCATACGTACATGATGCATACATAAATACATATATGAAACACATACTATATTTCTACGTATTGCAAAAAAGAAAAAACTACATATGTACATACATATGTTGATACACAAACAATAAGAAATTAGTAAATTCAGTAAATAAATAAAAGAAAAACGTTGAAGAAAAATTGTAAGATGAATCTCCTCAGTCAATGAGTTATTTAGTAATTTAAATGTGTTATCAGCTGACCCTTCCAAGCAACTTTTTCTAATAATCCGACGCCTAATAGGAAAGTAACGCAACTAAACCGAAAGATGAAAAGACATTTTTCACAATAAAAGCTACATACACACACACATACAACAACTGACATGGCCTTCCCTGCTTCCTACTTACTTTCCATTCATGCTAATAATAAATGTTAGTGGCAAAAACAAAAAATTAACACAAATGCCATATGTTATAGCGTACATTATTGAAGCAATTATTAATTGTCAAGTTTAAATTAAATAAGTATATGAAATTGTTTAAATTTAAATTCGAACTCTATATACGAGCTGCAAGATGAAAGCAGATAAAAAACATATTGCATTGCATGCAGGTACAATAATTATACATACATACACATAAACATTGTATGTAGTAGTATGTGTTGGCATTGCACGTGAATGTGGCAGTAATAACTCTAATACATACATATATGTATTTATGTCAGTTGCAAACCGTAAATAAGTTATACAACTGAACACTTGATTAACTGTTATTTTTAAAAACTATTTGAAGAAATTGCATTTAAGTTTCTTGTGAAAATAATAAGAATTCCTTAACAACCGACAATTCGTATGAGAAATTAAAGTCTATTAAAGTAAAGGATTACTTCAAATAAAAAGAGAGACGCCAGATTAATTAATAAATGTTCGATTGTTTACGTAAAAAGAATACAAGGATACAAGCATACAGTGGAACAAGGCATTGAATAATTAATGAAAGAGGTCGAAGTTATGAGTCACTGTGCAAAATATGAAATCAATAAAGATATCAATATATACACATTATTTATTGGTTAAATAAGCGTTTTTGTATGGTACCAACGGCATTGTAGTCTGGGGAAACACATTTAGGGGGTGGTACGTAGGAGAGACGTAACATTGAAAAGCGTTAACTGTCATTTTGCAATGTCAGGAAACACATTTAGGGGGTGGTACGTAGGAGAGACGTAACATTGAAAAGCGTTAACTGTCATTTTGCAATGTCAGCGCAGAATGGTTTAACCATTTTTCTCTCAGTGTAACTAAGTTTTTTTTTTTAACTTTTGTCCCGTATTTACTATAAATTTACAGCTTTTTTGCATGTGTGGTTACTTACGTAAAAACAAATTCACTTATCTGGGAACTTAAATTATATTACCAAAAACAAAAGTGTTAAGTAAAAGGTTACTAGTCAACGTCTACACCCTCCTTTATGTTCAACGAAACAACGAAATGGTAAAGAAACAAAATAGTAAACAAAACTGAATAAAGAAAGTAAAAAAAGATTTTCTATTACTTGCAATGTTGGAAGATGCTTTCAATGATAAATTAATTAAATTAAACGAAATACCTTGTTCCTTATGAATCATTTGCACAGAACGTCAAGACCTCTTCTAGCCGCTTTACGTTATCAGCCATTTTTGTCACAGCGGCTGTTAATCCTTGTATCACAGTTATGAATTGTTCCTCTCGCTGGTCACGTCTTTTCATGCTCTCCAAGAGGGTTTCGTACATATCACTCAGTGCTGCTGATTTTCGTTTTTTAGGAGCATTTGTCGTACTTCCGGGTACTTGTAGTTCAGGCGACGATGCGGACTGTGTGGCAGCTGTGTGTTTGTTTTCCAAACTTGACAAAACTTTTAAGTTGGACGAAAACTTTGAGCTATTTGAATGTGGCGGTGGTGGACCGAGCTGTATAATTTTTCTTTGAACATTATCGGTTCTTGTAGGCGTATTGTTTTCAGTTGATGTGCGCGGAATAATAAATATTTTTGCCTTTTCCGTTTCTTTGGTCACTGTTTGACGGGGAATAACAAATATTTCAGAACGCGAAGTGCCCTAAGTACAAGAAGAAAATATTTTTTTATAATTAAATTAAATAAAAAAATATATATATGTTATAAATATACCGGGAAGCCCAATGTTGAAATATCTTCCACTGTGTTAGACTGATTCGCCTCGTACCTTGGGTTACTGTCCTCCGAAAGTACAATATTATGTTTGATATCTAATGTTTCCTCAAAAGTGTGTGTGACCTAAAGAACATTTTTGTTTTTTAATAACTGTTTCCGTCACAAATATGTTTGTTATTTGAGGAATGCATACCTCAGCCTGAGAGTCATCTAGACGACTATTGTCATCATCAGAGCTATCAATTTCTTTTTTGATTTTGACCAATTCCGTTTTCAGTACGCCCTTTAAAGATGGAGGAGAAATGTTTTATCAAAGGCGTAAACATTTTTAAGTTTTAGCTCACTTTAATATTGTCTGCTTTGTTCACCATGTTTTCTGCACCAACGTCCTCAGCAACAGCGTCATTGTTTGTGGAATTAATAACTATGTATCCATTTTCAAAGAGAAGAAAATATGTCTAAGCTTTGAAAAAGTTCCCTCAACAATGGGTGTTCAAATGGTATTACTATACAAACAAGTGTACCTAAATTCACTTCCTCATTTAGTGAGCGCTGTCCGAAGTTCCATAAAGCGAATTCATCAAATTGTGGAACCCCGCTACTTTTGCCACGGCGTGCCCGACACCTTAGTTGACTGCGCCAAGTGCTCATAGACTGAAAGAGCGCTATTTATAGATTTAGGTTTATTACACATGTATATAACCAATTACTAACCTCTTTCCATTTATCAGCTGAACGACAAGCGCCATCCATTGAATTCAAATTTCTCGCCAATCCTTCCCATAAGTGACTTACAGCGCCGAACTTCGATGTTAGTATTTTTGGGTGTTTCCTTGCAAAGTTTACAAAGAATAATAGTTGTTCCATAGAGGCTCGGTTTTTCCTATAACTTTGTATATATTTTTTTTCTTATTGATTTGTTAATTTAATCCAAACATTTTCAAATTATTTGCTTACCTGTCTATGGCGCTTAAACATTCCTGCGACTTTCTCCTTTCAACGCTTGCTCTCGATAAATTCAGCGAGGGCACTGCGTCTGATTGTAATCGTGCTCTTTTTGGGTTTGCCGATGTGAAATCGTTTGCACAGAAGTGTTTGGAGCACAATCTTGAACTTTGTGTTAGCTTGACGCCAATCGCTACTTCCCATTTACCTCTCATATATTCATCGCGTGGAGGCGAGAACATTGAAACGGTATTATTCCAGCTACTTTTACACACTGAACATGAATTACCAGGCATCACAACTATTTTTCTTTATAATAATTTAGAATGAAAAAATCCTAAAGTACGCGAATTTTAGAAGTCGTCAAATATGCGTACAAAACGAACTGTCAATTGTCAATCACAGCTTTGTCACGTTTGTTGTTGGAATTTTACTATAGCATCGCTGCCGAAAGTTTTCATATGATGCACCCTGTTGTAGCAGCTGTTGCTTATCAATTGCTTGCAATTGTCTTGTTGACGTATTTCTCCTGCTTTATTATCAGTTAAATTGTGACATGCTCATTCGTAAGCAGACTTTTCGAGTTACCAAGAAAAAAATATTGAGAGCGTCTTAAATTTTCAAAGAAAATTATAATTTTATGGAAAACTGGGAAATCGTTAATCGAAATCGTTTTATATCGTCCTCAGCAATAATTTTTTTAAAGAATTACTGCTTAGTCCATATACCTTTACTACGGCAGTTTTTCGGTTTTGTCAATGTCATATAATCTGGTCACCTTGCTAGTGAGTAATCTATGACAACATCAACTACTAGACCTTCTTACTAACATTGGAAAGTGAAAATCGCGAATATTGTGGAAATTTTATATAAAACATCTTAAATTGTGTGATTAGAGCGCGCTGAAATGACGGACGCGTTTTCCTATCAACGCACCGTACAGAGTTTGGCTCGCGTATTGGCGCGTATAGAGCCAACACCGTGGGACAAGGTAAAAATTGATTTTCACGGTCAACTCATATCACAAAATCGACTTTTCACCTTTGACTCATATTTTTAATTGTGTGCAGGTGCAATCTCTTTTCCGCTATTGTCCACAAGAAAATGCCGCTGGAGTTTTTTGTCTCGATGCTAAAGCGCAAGATGCGGTCATTGCTTTGGGTATTTATTTCCTAGAAAGTGGGTGTCAGCATGAGCAGCACATTGTGCCATATTTACTACGACTGGCGAAGTGCTTGCCAAAAGCAGTTTGGGTAGACGATGCAAAGTGGAGCAAAATCGATCGTAAGTGTTTTTGTAAGTGAATATTTGTTCCAGATTCTTTAGTTTGAAATGCTTTATTTTGTCAATAGGTATACCATCGGCAGAAAAGTTCAGTTTTTGTTTGAATACTTTACTTTCTGACATCGCATCGAAATCCCCCGATCTACGCGAAGAGATCATACTAAACCAAGTGGAGACACTTAGCGCTCTGGCAAATATTATCAAATCTAGTAAGGATAGCAGCTCTGCGCCACCACCCATAATACTATGCAAAGCAACTGTACCATTACTATTCGGTTTGGCACGTTCTATGGGACGATATGCAAGCCAAGATCCGTCTTTATTGTGTCGCATATTTCCACGTGAAGAAATGCCGGTGGTTAAACAGAACATGCGTGATGGTGGTAGTTTCAGCTCCAGCGAACGCATTGCTTGCTTCTCACAATTTCGCCCAATCATACCACGTTCCATGTCCGGTAGCTTGAGTCAAGACTCCAACGAGCTGCGCATGCGTCAATTGCAAATGATTAATGGAATCAAGCAACGACCACATTTGCAAACTTATTTCTCTGTACCATACGATCCGCGCACACATTTCTTCACCAAGACTGGTTCCAGTTTTAATCAATTCCCCAATATGCGCGCCTGTGAGACGCCAACTAAAACTAAGAAGTCACTCACAGTGCCACCATTTCCGATACAACATCTACAGACCATCTTCGCAGTAGCTAAGAAATTACTCACCAAAGAGACTCTGGAGCATTTGGATGAGCAGGCGAGCGATATATTCGCTCTGCATCAAATAAAGGGCTATTGCTATAAAAGCTTTTCGGAGACGCTGAATTTGGTATTAGTGACGCTGCTACGTGAACTTTTACAACACCAAATCGATTTACCAACACCGTTTACGAAGGACGTGCAGGAATTTGTGAAGCGTCTTTTTTTAAATGGACAAACGGAGCTGGCAAATAAGCAGCAAGATCAAGAGAAGGAGAAGCGCGAAGAGAACGGCATACCGGTGGTGAATAAATACAAGGTGAACGTAATGGCAAATGCCGCCTGCGTGGATCTGCTGGTCTGGGCTATACGCGATGAAACTGGTAGGTGATTGCTGGTTAAAGTGGAAAACAATTTTCTTTTCACTTGCATTTTAAAACAGAAACACACTTATACATATACAGTTGTAAATTAGATTAGCATAATTACATACCGGGTACTGAATTTACGTTTTTTTTTATTTAATGTGAATTATTCTTTTCAGTTGATGAGGAGTACAATGTACCTTCATTGCAGTTGGGTTTAAAAATTTTATTGAAGAAAGGTTGTTAATTTTTTAAAGCTTTTGTTTTGTTACGAACCCATTTTTTACACGGTTCGGCGCATGCTCAAATGTTATTTCTCGAGAAAAATAAGAAGAAATCCATCAACTACTAATTTAATTATACATATTTTAATAAACTTTCATTTTCATGTCATACTTGTAGTAAACAGGAGTTGGACATATTATGCCACATTTTTTACCTTTCCTCTCCAATATATTTTTATGTTTTGAATGCAGTTTATATCGTTATTTTCGCCTATTTTTGCGTTTTACTTTTTCTTTTACAATTTTACGTCACAATCCAATTTAAATTGACATTCGATTCCTCCTTTTTAGAGGCCGACAAGCTGTGCGGTCGACTGTCACAGAAGCTCAACTCTGTGCTGAGTCATAAGATTGTCTTAGACCACATGCCATTACTGATGGTGTGTCTCGAGGGTCTTGGCAAGTTAGCGCAAAAATTCCCCAACATTGCCGGCACATCCATATCGTATTTGCGCGACTTCCTTGTCGACCCAAGTCCAATATTGGCCAAACTGCATGCCTATTCACAGCAAACGCTGGCGCTGCAGAAGAAGGAGAAGGAAAAGTTGGCGCCTTTCAAGATCGTGGTGCAGAATAGCGAATCGCGCTCGACTGTGGATATTTATGGTGAAAATCAGAAACATGCTGGCATGCGCTCAGGTCAGGCAGCCTTCGAGGCATTGCGCGATGCGGCAATTGAAAATTTGAGTATTGCATTACGTTCTGCGCACACGTTGGATCAGTACTGTGTGCCGGCTTTGGTGGCCAACCTCTCGAATCGGCTATTCACTGCAGAGAAACACGAATCGTAAGTACTGTTATATGTAAGATTGTCAAGGACTTCAATATTTTGAATATTGAAATCGCCTTCAACAAATAAATATTACTTTTCCCTACCCACACATTCCTTTCTATTTTCGCGTTTTTAGTGAATCTACTTTGGTAAGCCTCAATATTATTGTGATGCTCGGACACGTTGCCGTTACGCTCAAGGACACTTCGAAAACCACGCAGAATATCTTGCAATTCTTCATTCAACGCTTCTGTAAAGTACCATCCGAGCAGAATGCGCTAATCGTCGATCAATTGGGCTGCATGATTATCTCTCAGTGTGAACCCCATGTTTTTGAAGAGATTATGAAAATGTTTTCGCGCATCACAGTGCAGTCGGCATCGTTGGCCTACACGTCGGATCAGGAACATCGCAAACAATTCAATAACGTGTCGGATGCAGTGGTCAATGCTTTGGGTAATATTGCTGCCAATATACAGGGTGACTCGGAGATGCTCGAATTATTGGGCAAACTGCTCGAACTCTTTGTGCAGATCGGTCTGGAGGGCGAGCGCTCCTATGACAACAATACACCAGGTGCGCAGAAGGCCAGCTCCAGTGCCGGCAATTTAGGTATGCTAATACCAGTAATTGCGGTGCTGGTGCGTCGCCTACCGCCGATTAAGAATCCACGTTTGCGTTTGCATAAGCTATTCAAGGATTTCTGGGTGTATTGTGTGGTCATGGGCTTTACAAATGCTCGCCTCTGGCCAGCCGATTGGTATCAAGGAGTGCAACAGATTGCAGCCAAATCGCCCTTACTCATCTCGCAGACGACACACAAATCCGACATGCGCGAATTGAACTATACGTCGGCGATTAAAAGCGATTCGGTGAGTTTGAATGAATTACGTAGCCAGATACTCCTGCTGCTGGAGCATCCAACGGCCGATGTGACTGCTTCGATAAACAAGTTAACCTTCGCGCAATGCACCTATCTTTTGAGTGTGTATTGGTTGGAGACTTTGCGAGTGGAAAATTCAGAAGAACCCAGTTTGGAACCGATTTTGAGCTATCTGTGCGATAATGCGCTGCAAAAGGATAAATCTGGAATCTGGCAATGCGTGAAGTGGTACGTTGCCAATCAAACTATAGTGCCCAACCGGAGAGCTTCCATTAATTTTTCTTTTCCTTTATAGTGTTGCCGATCAAGTCTTTGAGAAATTCCGCAATGTGCTTTTCTCACATGACGAGATCCGCGAAAAGGTATTAGAATCACAGGCAATGCTATTGCTCGTCTACTTCAATCACATCCACAAGCAAATCCAGTTGGTTGCCGATCAGTATCTTTCACAGTTGGTCGATAAGTTTCCACATTTGCTATGGAATCGACGCGTGCTCTGGTGCATGTTGGATATTCTACAATTACTTGCATTCTCGCTTACACTCGACCCGAACGAAGAGACACCCACGCTGCGCGTCGTATCTACGCCTTACACCTTGCAGCTTATGGACTCATTGCCTGCGCGCGAAAGCCGCCTGAAGGACTTTGCCGATCGCTGTCAAGGTATCGTTAATGAAGCCATGAAATGGGCACCGCGTTCCACACGCTCGCACCTGCAAGAGTACCCCAATCAGATACCCACACAGGTACTGGCGCACCACAGTGGTCTCGCTTTGGCCTTCGATTCGGTAGTCAGCAGCAATACGTTGTATCCGAACGCCTTGCCGTCGATTAGTAAGCGTCCAAACTGCGTGAATAGCAATACGCCGCGCTTCGTGTCCGTGTTGTGTCTGCGCAGCAAATACGCTGGTGAAATTTCTGGCATGTTGTCAGTGCTAAGTGAGGACGAAAAGGCGGGCTTAGCTGACCGCTTAGTGAAGGATGTATGGGACGCGTGTGCGGAGAAGAGTGACGCGAGTCACCGTGGCGCCTTGT